ACACGGAAAAAGACAAAAGACAAAAAAAAAAAAAAAAACCCAGAGTCTATTGGCACTTTTCTACCGAAGTCCAAGGGAAGTGACTTGGGGAGAATTCTAGAGATGGAAGCAGCTGCTCTGATTTATAATGTCTCCACAGCCGACTGTGTTAGCTCAGATCCATCAGACCGGAGCCTCAAGTCCAATATCAGGTTACAGGGAACCCGCAACTGCTGCGCGGCCACTGCCTCCTGCCAGAGCCCCCTGCTGGCCAGGCAGGCAGAGGTGGGCCACCTCCCCCTTCCCTCACCTTCTGAAGTTCAGGGAGGGGTAACAAGGGAAACGGGGGCAGCTTGGGTGTCGTGAGAGGAAGCCCCTGAGAACTGGGGTTTACCAACTTAGGCACTTTGCTACATGAGGGTCCCACAAGCCTCTCCAGCCCCACTCAGTGTCTTCTGCCCTTGGGTGGTCAGCGTCTCCCTGCTTGCCCACGAGAAGCTCCAGGTTCACTCCGGGGGCCCCTGCCCCGGTTCCTAATTGCTCCCACTGCTGCAGTCTGCAGTTAACCTCTTGCACTGGCTTCTGTCAGCAGCAGCTGCTCTTTCTGGACTGGGAAGTTTAGACCTGGGTCCTTCCCCCAAGTTCCCAAAGCAGAGCTAAGACCCAGGTGAACAAAACTTGGCCTTGGGGCTAATGGGATGACAACACAGAAAAGGCGGTGGGGTGGGGGTGGGGGGTTACACGTGGATATGAAGTACAATTTACAGCATCTTGAGGCCAAACGCCACCCCACTGGCCTCCTCACTGGGCCCCCGTCCCCCGCACCAGGTTGCAGGGTCAGCACCCAACCCCTAAAGGAAGTGCCTTCTGTCGGGTCCCCTCATGGCTTCCTTGCCCGCTTCCTCATTAACAGAACCCCACACAGAGGGGCCCAAAGTGCCCAGTAAAACAAAATACATCTCAGGGGCTCCTCGTGAATAGGAGTGGCCACGTGACACAGCTCTGGCCAGTGAGATGTAAGCAGGAGTGATGGACGGTCTTCCAGAAAGTTCCCCCCTTTCCCCACAAGGCCTCAGTTGGCCAAGTTTTGGGCCCTGGCTGTTCTCTCCGGCCCCTCCCCCTGTGTTCCCCCAGCAGGGTGCACAAGGAACCATCTGGCACCCCTGATGTAAGAGCACTCCCTCGGGCTGGTGGAGCCAGAATGTGGAAGGTGCTTTCCTGAGGACTGGTCTGAGCTGGGGACACCGGCCCTGGCTGCTGGCCTTCGCACATCTTCAGGTGTGAGAAAAAATAAACCCTGATGTGATTAAAACACTGGAATTTGGGTTTCTGTTCCCTGCAGATTTACCAGTTCCTAAGTTCAAGGCTCTCCCTTCTTGGCGTCCACTGAGGCCAGAGAGAGACTAAAGCCCATCCTGCCTTGGCCGCAGGCCCCCGCTGTAACACTGTCCCACAGCGAGACAGTGGATTGTACAGCATTCAGGCCAAGGAGCTCCTCTTTCCAGAACAGCACCTGCCTCTGCCTCTAAAGGACCACAACCCACCTGCAGAGAACTGCCAAGCCTGGCACAATCTGTAAACAACAAATGCTTCCTTCTGGTCACCAAGGTGTTAAAATATTAAGGGGTCCAGTGTCAGAGCCACATACATGGTCTAGGTCCAGGTCTGTCCCCTAGAAGCAGAACATGAGGCAGGGCCTCGCTGCAGGGATCTGCGGAGGGCCTGATCTTCAGGCACACCTGGAAGGAGTGAGGGCATGAGGACAAGGACACGGGAGGGCCCACACCTGTGGCCACTCGGCCTGATCCATGGGGCGGGGGTGATGGGGGGCTCTGGGACACAAATGACGTACCGCATGTCCTTGTCTGTAGGTAAGGGGGCCGGCCTCGGGTCGGTCAGTCATTGGCTTCGGTCTGATGGGGGGTGGGGGGGCGGTGAAGTGTAACCCCCAGGTGGGTTGGTGGACCCTCCCATGAAAAGGCTGTAGCCTCGCCTCCACTACACACATGCCCCTTTATGTCACCCTGGGTGTGTTCCCAGAACACTCCTGAAGGTCTGGGAGGAGAGGGACCCCAGGGGCACCTGCTCTGGCCTTCCTGACCTCTCGGCTGGGCCCGCGCTGCGTCAGCTTCCCCAGGACCAGTCGGTGCGAGCGAGGGCCGGGGAGGTGCAGCGCGCTGTAAATCAGAGTGGCAGCCCTAGTCCCCGGGGACGCAGTTCAGGCCCTGACCTCGGCAGGAGGGTGGAGGGAAAGTTGCCAGTGGCCATTTGGAAAACTCTGACATCTTCCAGGCAGTGGGGAGCAGGAGAAAACAAGGTCAGCAGACTCAGTTACAGACCAGCCTCTTTTTTAATGGTGTCCCTGGTCCCTGAGCTCCTGTGTTGACACCTGGCTCTGACAGGTAAAGAGCAGAAGGCTCGCACTTCACAGCTTGGATTATGACAGCGGCCGCCCTCAGGCACCATGCAGTGTCATCAAATTAGCCCTGACCTTCACCCTAGGACTCAGCTTTCAACCTTGGGGGCTGGGGACTGTCCTGCACACTGTGAGATACTTAGTGGCATCTCTGGCTTCACTGTGGCTACTAGATGCCACTAGCACCCCTTTCCCCAGCCGTGACTCAAAAGTGCCTCCAGGCATCACCAAATTGGGGGCAAAATTGCCCCAGGTTGAGAATCACTGCCTTAGGGAAAAGGGATTGTTGTGCCCATTTTACAGAGGGGTAAGTGGAGGCTAGGGGAGGGGATATAACTTGCCTGAGGTCACAGTTGCTAAGAAGCAGGGCAGGAGTTGAACCCAGGGCTGCCTGACTCCAGCACCCGTGTTTAAGCCCAGGCCAGGCAGCCAAGGCAGCCCCAGATGGGCAGGCAGACAACCAGCCAGGCCCCCCCATCACCCCTGCTGGTCTCTGCCACCTCCAGTGAAAGGCTGAGCAGGGAGCCCTGGGGAGCCAGGCTTCATCTGAATGGCTCTGCTGTCAGGGGAAATGTCTCCCTCACCCCCTGCCCCCACCTGCCCCCTAATAAGCAGGACTGCTGTGTTGGCATTTCCAGCCCCTGGCTGCCGTGCGTTTCAGCTATGAGGTATTTATGGGCGCCTGGGGAGCAGCTGGTGGCATCTCCCTGCAGGCCTGGGTGGCCAGGGCAGGAGGGGGCTCAGCCCCCTGCCCGCACCCCAGCCGGAGCCAGCCTCCCCTCTCCCCGAGGGACTCCCCAGCCCCTCCCAGCACATCTTGAGCCAGAAGAGTTAAGGGAAAAGGTCCCAGGAAGAAAAGCTTTACTTATTTTTCCTTCTCAAAACACAAATCATGACTTGTAGGGAAGTTAGAAAATACAGAAAAGCAAAATCATAATAATTTTAAAATTAAAATCACCCACAGCCCTCCACTCAGAGCTAATAACTGTTAATATTTCCTGACAGATATTTCTAGTAGTATTCCATAAAATAAGAGCCACACACAGACCTCACCCCCTACCCAGGATTTGTTAGGCCATGTGCTGGGTTTGGCATTTCTTGCTTCAAGGATGCTCGGGATGAAGCTGAGAAGTGGGTTCTATTAACGCAGTGTAGCCATTTCACAGCTGAGCACACTGAGGTTCCAAAAGTGTCCTGACCAGGGACTTTAGCTACAAGCACCAAAAAACAACTGGCTGATTTAAGCAGCAAAGGAAATTATTTGAAGGATCATGGGGCGACATGTCAGGAAAGCTCGACGTGAGGAAGGAGCACGAAGGCAGGAAGGATGCTCAGTATCCCGCCCACTGCGGGCCGGAAGAGCCCGAGGCCCAGCTGCTGCCTGGGCATCGTGCCCACCACCGGGCTCGCTCTGATCCTGCCTCCGCCAACATCTCCAACATCATTTTGTGCCCCTCATCTCCTCCAATGCTCTGCCCTGATCCAGAAACCCAAAGTGACAGGAGCGAGGGATGTGAGGGGTGGGCAGGGCCAATTCCCATGAGGCTTTGTGGGTGGAGCCAAGACACCTGGAGCATGCAGGAGACCTGGAGACGGCTGGCCCATAAGTTGGTGACAGACTCTTGGGGTCCTCCATAGCGCAGGCCAGTCTCAGTGTCAGTCAGGGCCTGCAGACCTGGGCAGCACCTTTCTCTGGGAAGGAAAGGGGGCTATGTGACCTGGAGCCTGAGCCTGGCAGCAGTGAGCAGGGGCCAGGACCCAAGCCTTGTGCTTCGACACCACCCACCCCTGCATTTCCAGGGCTGGACGTGTAGATGGAGGCCCACATGCCACGTGTCTAAATATTTAAAGCCATCCATCACACTGAGGTATAAAATGCAGCCAATCCTTGACAAGCAATCACTTCCCACTGGCCTGAAAGGCTGGCTTCAGATTAGCAGCCTTGGACTCCTTCGGGTACAGCCAGCATGCAGGCTCTGCTGAGCACATCCTCTTGGCCCAGGGACCCCTCGTCCCATGGCAAGTAGAGTGGAGGAGGCCCAGGGTGGGGCCCCTGAGGCCCAGGCCCAAGGGCAGTGCTGGATGAGGCTTGGGCTTGCCCTCTGGGCTGACCTAGGGCTGCACAGACTGATGGGGCCATCTGGGGCCAGCCTCTGAGGTCCCTCTTGGAAGGCTGGCCACATATACCAGTGCCGCATGCTGGAATAGGGGCAAAGGCTGGAGTAGCATGAAACCAATGAGTGGAGACATTTGGACCCACCTCCAGCCAGCCAGCTGCCCTGCTCAGCACCAAAAAAGGTGCACAGGTGTGCCTGGCAGGGCTGGGCAGCCCTGTGCCAGCAGCAAAGGGAAGACTCAAGTGGGAAGCAGCCTGGGTCCTGCAGCCTGGCCACTATAGTCCCCAGCCTGGGCATTAGTTCCGAGAAAAGGGGGATGGCACAAGCAGAAAACATCACCAGGGCTTGCCCAGCCAGCGCCAGCCTTGTCCCGTCTGAAGGTGAGCAGCGCTGGCCATCGATGGCAGGTGGACATACACCTAGTGTCGCTGGTTCTCTAGATTTTTCAAGAGAAACCAGAAAGCTAGAGTTTAACATAAACCTTTGGGTTTTCAGATGTTGGCCACTAACTTGCCTGTCTCTAAAACTGGGGACACCAATTGCTTAAAAAATGGAAGAGAGGATTAACATATGACCCAACAATTCCACTCCTGCGTGCAGACTCCCAAAGGACTGAAAAAAGGTGCTCAAACAAAAACGTGTACATCACTGCTCCCAGGAGCCTGTTCACCATGACTATGAAGGAAAGAAGCACAAAAGCCAGATTTGAGAAGCAGCGTGTCCATCAGCTCTCTGTCAGGGATGAATCGAGAGACGCAATGCTGTGTCCCATATAGTAGAGACTGTCCCATTGTCAGAGAAAGGAACAGAGCACTGACACATGCTACAACACGGATGAACTTTGAAAACATTGTGCTGAGTGAAAGCAGCCAGACGCGAAGGTTACGATAGTATAATTCTGTCTATATGAAATGTCCCAGATAGGCAAGTCCATAGAGACGGAAGGTAGATTGGTGGTTGACAGGGGCTGGTGACAGCGGAGAATGGGGAATGGCTGCTTAATGGGAACAGGATTTCATTTGGGTGATGAAAATGTTTTGGAATGAGGTAGAGGTGATGGTTACACAACCTTGTACTAAATGCCACCGAATCGCCCTTTAAAATGGCTCAATGTGTTATGGAAATCTCACCACAATTTAAAACAATTTGTGCAGACCAAATAAGTCTTATCTTCAGCCCAGTTCATGTCATTGGCGTTGGGTCCCTGACACCAGTCAGGGCAGTAGGCAGCCCTTCCCCAGGTGCCAGGTGGACCCACAACATCAGCCCAGGCACGGTCCCCTGGCCCCTCCTCACCCACCACTGTGTCCTAGGCCAAGCAATGACAGACAGGGGAGGTTGCTGCCCTCAGGGGGTTCACATTCTGGTCTGGGGAAGCTGCCACCACAAAACCATGTGACATGAGGCTGGTGGGGCAGGGAAGGGCAGGAAGAGACCCTGGAGCTAGAGATGGGAAAGCTCGAGGATCATTATCAATAGTATCAGTTTTGTGTTAAGAAAGGCCCAGTAGGGAGGCAAGACAGCTGGTATGATGAGGCAGGAAGCTGGAGGAGGAACGGAGGGAGAGAAGTTACATTCCTGGGGCCTCTGTCTATAGTGTGCCAGAAGCCCACGAAGAGGACGCATCCAAAGCCCCGGAGCTGGCTCGATGGGGCTCCTAGTGGTCAATTAGTAATCACTGGAGTCTAAGCAAGAACGAAGACAGTAACGAATTATTACACCACATCGATTTTTTTAAAAAAGGAAATTATGGGTCTGTAGTAATATTCAAAAAGAACTGAGTGGGGAGGTGGACAGTAGGGGGCTCTTCTTTATAGAATACCAGCCAAAGAATCTTAGAATGACACACTCACAAAATGACTCATTGGAAAATCACTATTTTGCAGCCTCCAGTATGACAACTGATTCGGGCAGGATCATCAGCAAATCGAAGTTGTACTGCACAGATTGCTGATCAATTACAAAGAGGGGAAGATGGTAGACACCCCCTTGAACAAGTGATCAAAGCCAATGTCACCAATAATGGGACAAACAGATACATACAGACAATATGATGTAGCAGAAAGGACACAACACCCCCTTGTGTCAAAAATATTTAACCTGACTCGATGCATGAGGAAACAAACAAATTCAGATGGAGGCCATTCTACTCGTATAAAATAACTGGGCTTTACTCTTCAAAAATGTTAATATCGTGAAAGACCAACGAAAAATAAAATGAAAAGGCAGAGGAGGGACTAAAGAGACGGAACGACTGAACACAGTGAGTGATCCTTGACTGGATCCAAATTAAAGTATTTTTAAAAATATATAGCAATAAAGGACATTTTAGGATAATAGCGGAAATTTGAATATGGATAATATATTAGATAATATTTTATCAAATTTAGATGTGATAATAGTATTGTGGTTATGCAAAAAAAATGCCCTTCTTCCTTGGAGATGCACACAGAAGTATTTAGGGGTGGAGTATCATAAGGTTGTAACATACTTTCAAATTGCTCAGTGGAAACTAAGGGCATAGGTAGAGGATTAGAGGGTGTGATGTAGTAAGATGTTCAACCGCTACATCCAGCCCAAGTACTTAGATATTCATGGACTATTCCAACTTCTCTTTACATTTGGTAATTTTGCAATAAAAACTTGGATAAAAAACAATAAAAATTTTATAGACTAGTTAATAAACAGAACAATTTAGTTGTGTTTATGAGAGGTGGGGAACAAAATTATATCCCTTCCACACACCATACATAAAATAAATGCAGGTGGTTAAAGACATAACTGGGAAAAGTGAAGCTTGAAAACTTTTAGATTAATGAATTCAACTACATTAAAATAAAATCCTGCCACACAACAAAAGACAAAGAACAGTAAAAAAGCACAAGCCGCGGACTGAGACAAAATATTGGAAACATATGTGATGGATAAAGGTTCATACTGAAAATACATTAAGAATTTCTTAAAAATCAAAGGAAAAGGATGAACAGCCCAACAGAAAAACAAGCAAACGTGAGCAGGCAGGTCCCAGAGGAGGGAGTGCAAAAATGATCAACAAATAAGCTTGAAAGACCAGCCCAGTGGTGATCAGAAAAATACAAACCTACCCCCATCCAATTGGCACAAGCTGTAAAAGTCTGGCCATACCTAGTGTTCGTGGGAACATGGAGCAATGTGATTTCCATACACTGATAGTGAGAATATAAATCAGGACTTCACCTAGTACAATGTGCTAACATCCCATGGCCTGGCAATGCCACTCCTAGGTATACATTTTAGAGAAAATCTAGCACAAAGACACGAGGAGATCTGTACAAGACTGATCACCAAAGTAGTGAAAACGGAAACAAATCAAATGCCCATCAACGAGAGGCTAGATATGTCAAGCGTGGTATTTGCCTGCTGCAATACTTTACAGCAGTTCGAATGGATGAATAAAGGGATATTCTCACCCCCAGCACCGCTGACATTCTGGGCTGCATAACTCTGTGCAGGAACCGCCCTGTGTAGGGCAGCGTGCTCAGCAGCATCCCTGGCCGGTTGTGACAACCACAAATGTCTCCAGACATTGCCAAATGTCCCTCCTGGGGGAGGTGGGGAGGCAGAATCTCTCCAATTGAGAACCACTAAATTAGAGCCATATGAATCAGCACGATAAATCTAAAACATAATGTTGAGTGGAACATTTGTGTCACAGAAAGATAGAT